GGGCGACAGAGTGAGACTCCAACTCAAAAAAAAAAAAAATGCTTACATAGTCTGGAAGTGGAAATAAATAAATAAATAAATATATATATATATATATATTTTTTTTTTAAATTGGAGTCTCACTCCCAGGCTGGAGTGCAGTGGCATGCTCACAGCCACCGACAGCTTCGACCTGCTGGGCTTATACAGTCCACCTCAGCCTTCCAAGTAGCTGAAACTACAGATGCACGCCACCACGCCCAGTTAGTTTTTGTGATTTAGTGTAGAGATGATGTCCCACCAAGTTGCCCAGGCTGGTCTTGAACCCCAGGCTTGGGCAATCCTCTTGCCTCGGCCTCCCAAAATGCTAGGATTACAGGCTGAGCCACCACGCCTGGCCGTAAATATTATTTCTTAATGTACTTACCTGGCAAAATAAAATGCTAGGCTTTCTGTCGACTTTGATGGTACGAAGGTATGAAAGGCCAGTCTTGAAATTGCAGTCTGCTAGAACCAGCATGTAAGGTCAGTGGCTCAGGGAAGCCCTGCCATGTGGCTCAGACCATGACTGGTAGCCAGGAGAGCATAATACAGTGCATCTCGAGCTGGCAGCACATACTGATGTCCTGAGGAGAAAGACTACAATTCCCAGCCTCCTGTGCAGCAAGGGGAGGCCAGATGACTATATTCTGACCAATGGGATGAAAGCACAAGGGGATTTCCCCCCCCCTTCTCTACTCCTCCCCACTTCCTCCTGGTTGGAATGTGGACAAAATGGCTGGCACTCAAGCAGCCGGGCTGGTCTCAGAGGTGGCAACCATTGGCTACAGATGCTACAGGGACCAGAAAGGAGAGGCCTGGTGATTGTGGAATGCCATACCACCTCTGGTCTCTTGTATCTGCTTGAGAGAGAAAAACGTGCATGCTGTCTTTAATGAAAACACCTGAATGTGTAAAAGGTTGCTGTGTTACTTTGAGGAGTCTGTTCCTCCCAGACAAATCCAATCCCACCAGATGTGCCTCCAGGACCTCCTCACAGATGAGGAACCTGATGTGAAGGACATTTGCCCTGGAGCATCATTCTTACTCAAAGTTCTGAGAGGAAAAACAATTTTCCTTCTTTTATTTCTCTCAAAGTTAATTTAACCAATTTCACCTTTTCTTTTTTATAACAAATGCATGCATTCTGATGAAGGATAAAGAACGTCCCGTGAGTGAAGAGTCCTTCTGTGTTGTCTGCTTGTGACCCTCCACCCCAAGTCCTCGAAGGGTCCCATCTCCACGCTGCCACCGCAGGGATTGCTGATGGAATGATTCTGAATGCCCTCTCAGGAGGCAGAGAGGCCTGCATTTGAACCCTGAGACTGTTACTTCTCAGCCACGTGATCTTGAGCCAACCACTTCACCTCTCAGTGTCTTCCTCTGTAAAACTAGGGATGATAGTACCCGCCTTGGAGGGCGGATGGAGGTGTGACCTGATTCTGTCTCCGGGAGGCGCTGGCCTAGAGGTGAGCACAGAGGAGGGGCTTCAAGTTCCCATCCCGGACAAAGCGGCCGCCCTATCAGAATCACACTCAGAGGCAGTTCCACAAACAAGGATGGTTTAATAGAGCTCACTCATTTCCACTCGGCAGTGTCATATGAAAATAAAACTCTTTATCAAAACAGCAAGGCATAACCGTCGTTGCTACTCAGCAATCGCTGTGCTGATTTTGACAATCGTCAAAACCAACTCTGGGCAAGACACTTGACTCTCAGCCTGCTTCTCCATCTGGGGAACAGGCAGGTAGGACATCACCCTGCTCCCCGTGGGGGGGCCCACTGGCAGGAGACGGCCTGGGTGGCAGTGGGGCGCGTGTCGAGCGACTGACTCCTCTCCCTGCCCCTGGAGAAAGCCTGGGAGATGCTGTATGCAGCCTTAAAGTAACTCCAGCGCTCACTTATCTCATTGTGTAACAGGGAAGAGGCAGCCCTCAGGCCCTGACCTCACCACACCAGCAGGGAGCCCCTGCCCAGCGAATTTATTTTTCGCAGTCTCTTTCTATTTTTGGCAGCAAGTGATACATGCCGGCCATCACCGGCAGCAACAGAAAGACGTTCCCTTTCTGAACAAATTGAATTTCAGTTTAAAAAGCGAGTCTGTCCAAAGGAGATGATTTGGTAAACGATAAAAAAATACAGCAAATAATAAGAACAACAGTGGGAAGGGAACACTCCATCAGGTCAGCCCAAGAGTATTTCTAACGCGTGCCCTGCAATTTTGTCATTCTAAAGGAAGGTGTGAAGAAACCCAATGGCGTCCAGGTACCTTCCAGCCAACCCGTGGCACACAGCTAATCCGCTCATCTCTCCCTTTTTCTCTGTAGCTTATATTAAAAAAAAAAAGAGAGAGGGAAGAAAATAAAAGAAAAACAACAAAGACTGCAGCCAGGCCAGGTTAGCATCAGGTACCAGCTAAAACTCCCTGGTGGGAGGACCGTCTTATGTCGCTCCAAGGAGGTGCCGCCTTGAAAAGGAAGCAGCCCTTCTTTGAAGGCAGGTGAGAATCCAGTCTCGGTGACAAGCAGCCTGATTTGGAGGGGGAAGTCACAGGGCTTTCCCCCAGCACGCCAGGGTTACCGCCTGCGAGACCTCCCGTAGCTATTTCTGCTGGCTTTCCTCCTTCTCTTCCAAGCCTCGGAGAGGCACCACGGGTTGCCATGGAAACCGGCTCCGTCCTCCCACTGGAGGCTGCCAGCTCCGGTTTCCCGCAGAGTTAAGAAGCAGGCGGCAGTGGGGGTCGCCCAGGCGTGAAGATGGGCTTCCCTGGGGATACCCCGCCTCCTGCCAATCACAGTGTCTGTCTGGGAATCCTGGGGGGCGCTTGGAGGCTGAGGGCCGGGGAAGCCCCCAAGCCTCAGTGCTGCTCTGAGACTGGAACTATTCAGAGGTCGCGGGTCCTGTCCTCTCTCTCCAGCTAAAGCTACAGGGACCTTGCGCATGTGTGTGTGTCTGTCTCATGAGATGCCTCCATGACTGGTGACCTCTGTGTCTACGGGGCGTTTAAAGAGAACTCGATAGCCAGGACATACTAATGAAAACGTCTGCCATCATACAGAAGGGTTGCAGGCAACTTTTCTCTTTAAGCTGCTTATTTTCTAAAGCCGAGGCAAAGGCAAGTTTTCATCACTGCTGGTTTGTTCCAAGGGTGGTACCTGCAGGCCGGGATGGACGTTTGGTCTGAAGACCAAGTAGCTGGTCCCCACTGCCCCCTACAATGCCACTCCTAAGAATTAGGAAAGGGGCTCAAACTTAAATGCTCTCAGGGCCAGGAGTGGAAAAGCAAACCGAGTCAGAACCTGCTGGGCCCCAGAGCCCCACTCCTGCACAAAGAAGACGGCTGCCACTCAGCTCCAGTCCATGGTACCCCTGGGAACATGGGCCCCGTCCCATGGGCTGGACATTTTGGATGAACAAAGACGGCATGATGACGAAGGTCCTTTTTTTAAGTGTAGGCCAAACAAAGCATGTCTGCAGGATGGAGCGTGCCCATAAGCTGGCGCTTCTGCCCTGAGACCGGCACCTTGTCTGGCTTGGCCCGTCTATGGGACCCTAGCTGATCCCTTCCAGTCATCCCGTCGGGGCTGTGTCCTCACTTTCCCACCTGGGTCTTGACCCCGGGGAGCCCCTCCCAGGTGGCACCCAGCATTCGGAGGGCACCTGGATGCACCAGCCTTGGGAAACCCTTCTGCATTTTCCCCAGTGTCAGTGTGACCAGCACAGGGAGGGAAGCGACCAGCAAATGGGGCAGCCGGGGAAGCAGCATTCTCAGGGACGCCATGGGCTTTCGCTGGACTAATAATAACTGGGGGGCAGACTGCTGGATTATTTCAGTGGACACACTGCGAGGCCCTGAGTGGCCTTGCTCTGGCCAGCATCTGGGACCCTGCCGGTTGTTAAGGTGACCCCTCTGGAAGCTGAGAGCATAGCAGTGGGGGCCTCTAGTTCTGCCTTGTCTGCGTTAGCTTTGGTGACTCTCACAGGTGAGCCGGGAGCAGAAAGAGCCTGGTCTTGGAACGAAAACTTTGCAGCGGAAAATCCATAGGGCTTTGGGTGTCTTTGCTTTCTCTCACTTTTCTCTTGGCTTCTGGTCTTCTCTCACCTCCTCTCAGCCCACCCCACCCCAGCACAGCAGGAAAGTAGTGATGCCAGCACCTGGGAGGCTTAGGAGGCTGGAACCGGTGAGCACGCGGGGGCGTCTGCTCCCGCCTCTCATGGCCGGACGCGGTAACGGATGGGCACGTCGTGTTCCGGCTGCATGAGCCCGAAGCCATACCTGCTGAGGTCGAACTCGGGGATGGCCATATCCTCGCCGACCAGCTCCAGGTCCAGGTGCGCCAGCACAAGGAACACAAACCTGGGGAGAAAGGCCAGCATGAAGGAGGGCAGGAACAGTGGCTTCCTCCTGGGGCTGACCTTGACTCCCACTCTGAGGACAGCAGCAGAGGGGGAGGGAGAGGTCCAGCAAAGGCCCCTGGGCATCTGCCAGCCCCTGCAAGACGAGGCAAGCCTGAGGATGAGCGCTGGAGAACGAGCTAGGTGCAGACGTGGCCCGTGTTGCTCCACGGCAGAGCATTTCAGAGCCAGCGCGTGGTTCCGGCTTCCCTCCTTCCCTGCGGGATTCACACTGAGACAGTGGAGGCCACAGCTAGAAAGAGTCTTGCCTTGAGTCTCTGCATGGAGGGGCACAGTCCCCCAAGCCCACGGCCAACACTGTGGGAGCGGGAGCTAAGCCTTCGCTGGTTTAAGCCACTGAGACCTGGCAGTCGCTTGTCACAGCAGCGGAGCTGAGCTCGTGCGGATGAATACAGCAACTTTCCCGGCTCCCCTGGCTCCTCCTCCTCATCCTCTCTTCCTCTAGACTCTTGGAAGCTTCACTGACTGTCCTGGCCAGAGCTGCTGCCCACTCACAGGTGTCTGTGTGACATTAGACACAGACACCGCTCTCTCAAGACATCTTACGGCTACCTCTGAGAAAACAGAGCAGCGGCGCAAGAATGAGCACTCTCTACTGCCACCTTCTGGAAAACTGTCATAATGCATACACAAAGCCGCTGTGGCCATGATGTCATCATCATCCATGTCCCCACAAATGTGGGGCCAGCCCGGCAGATGTTAACGTGCCTGCCTCGCCGCCTTGTTTTACTCACCACTGTCTGTGTTCTGAAGGGCAGGAGAGTATTTTTTACCACTCTTGTTCCACCCCATCCCCCTACCCCAAGCCAGCTGCCTCGTGCAAAGGCTGAGCAAACGGCAGGGATTCTTGAATTTTATCGAAGAGGGAAGACCAGAATAGAAGGAAGATGACATGCTGGACAGGAGATCTGGGCTGTGCCACTCATGGGTGTGTGGCCCTCACCGTGTCTTTTCCACTCTGGGTCTTGGTTCCCCAGGTCAAAGAGGGGAGAGGTAGGATGGGTCCCTTCCGGCTCTGAAGCTGGAGGACACCAGAGGGTGAGTTTCTGTGGGATGGGGCTTTTGTGCCTGCACTTGGATTTGAACCCTGGCACCTCCACTTCCTAAGAGCATGTCCGTGGCAAGTGATTTGACCCATCTAGACTGCGACTTAGTCGGATACCTACCCAGCAGGGTTTTCATAACAATTAAGTGAGATAAAAAAGATATCAACCAATGAGTCAGTTTATTGAAACACAGTATGCCAGATACCAGCTAGGCACGGAGGATCCCCGACCTCTTTTCATCTGTCCAAAACCTGGATGAGGTAGGATGTACCAACAGTTCTGCTCTAGCCCTTGTTTTGAACAGGTGGATTGGTTCCAACATGATTGATATATAAGGGCACAATTTGAGCATAATGTGGATTTCACATTTGCTCATGTGCCAGTGCATTTGCAAGAAACACAAGGTACATACAAAAAACTGCAGAAATCCACAAAACATACACACACCTAAACATGTTTTGTGATCACGTTTATCACTTACATACTTGCATTTATTACATTAAATCCTTACATATTTCTTAACCATGTAACATGTGTAAACCTGTACTACCATTTTTTATCATATCCTTGTCTTTTTCTTTTTAATGTGTCACTGATAAGGTATTTAAGTGTTGGGCCCAGCTCCCTTTTCCCATACCGCGTGTGGTTTTCATGGCGTGATTTCACATGGCAAGGTGATTTTTTTTTTTTTTTTTTTGAGTTAGCATCTCACTCTGTCACCCAGGCTGGAGTGCAGTGGCACGCTCACAGCCACCACAGCCCTGACCTGCTGGGCTCAGGTGATCCTTCCGCCTCAGCCTTCCAAGTACCTGGAACTACAGGCGTGCACCACCACACCCAGCTTTTTTTATTTATTATGGAGACGACGTCTTGCCAAGTTGTCCAGGCTGGTCTCGAACCCCTGGCTTCAGGCAATCCTCTCACCTCAGCCACCCAGAGTTCTGGGATTACAGGCTTGAGCCACTGTGCCCGGCCTAGCAAGATGATTTTTTAGGAATACATATGAACTATATTATGTTTATAATCAGCTGTATTATGCTCTCCATTTTATTGTTGAGAAAATGAAGGCCAAAGGGTTAACGTACTCATTCACTTAACATAATGCCTGCACACTAATAATAATGTTAATAATTATGGTAATAATGAACATTTATCAAATGCCTACAATGAGCCAGGCAGTGGATTAAGAACTTAGAAAGATCCAATTCATTATCCTGACACCCTGGGATGTAGTTATAATCAGAACCCCCATTTCACAGCTGAGAAAATAGAGGCTCAAAGGTCACCCATCTGATGATCACACAGGAGCTGGACAGAAGGACTGGGCAGATTTCATAACTCCTGGTTCAATCAGTCTGATCTTGGGGGCCAAAGCTCATAGAATCCAGAAAAGAGAATTTTGAGGTTGTTGGCCCCCACGGGCGTTAAAAGAACCAAGCAGGAACAGGGAAGTCTGGCCAGTTCCTGCCTTAAGGTTTTGCGCATGCCACAGCAGCTGCAGATGGACAGCTATGGTCAGCTGGATGGTATTTGGTATTCAGTGTTTGGTATTCGGACAACAGTCTTGGAGGGAGGAGCCTGCTGCCAGATCTGAGTATTTCCAAATAAATCAGAAATCTGGTTTTTTACATGCGCTCTTGTGATTTTTAAGTTAGCACACATATTTAAAACCACAAATAAGAGGAATCTGTAGGTAAGAGATGGCTCAACGGATGTCCAACTAGAGTCTCTGCCCTAAACCATTCTCTGGGACGTGCCCCTCAGTCTCAGGAGGGAAGAGTGCGTGCCAACCAGAGGGAGTAGGAGCGTCCTG